CTTGAATTATTGAAACGTTGTTTCAGTAACATTGATAAAGTAGTCAAGAGCCAAATCAGTTATCATCCCTGTTTTGTAAAGTGTCTCATTTGATTGATGGTTGGTTGAAATATAAAGTTTTCTGCCAACTCTATTTATCATTTTGATAAAATAAGTTTGGCTGCTAATCTCTTGACGAATTTTTACAGGAAACGAAAGTTTTACTTTTCATGACAATGCTCACAATATTGCTGTGAATGCTCAGTCCAAAAATGAAGTCGGCGTGACACGCGTAATTTGGCTCGTGGACACATTAGTCTTGTGGTGCACACCGTTTTGGAACCTCAAGTGGTATTTCTCCTGAACAGGAAGCTACACCAAAAGACCATCACTTCGTAGGGACATTAACAATGTAAAACATTGGTTTTCTCCGGGAACGTTCAGCACACCAGAACACATACACAACGATGGTGTATTACCCAACTTTATTAGAAACTGACGAGCCGTGACATGTGGGCACTCGTTACGCACGAGTGATGTAGCATTCGCTAGGATTCTGTTTGTTCCACTTTCCGCGATGTTCGAACAAGTTCGGTTCAACTCGACTTAGCTGAGCTCCACTCAAGTGGATCGACCACAATCAATGTGGAGGAGTTGTTTCTCTGAAAACTGATAACAAACCGTTAAGTTAATTTATAAATATTCACTAGGGAGGAAAGATTGGATAAAAAGATAAACAAACTTCATCGTTTATCTGATTGAATTGAATGACTGGCTGACTGACTGAATGACTGTCACAAACGCATTTGATTTCTTTTGATCACGCGAAGTCCCCAGTAACATTTGTTTGGTTCATTTCTACTTCCTAATGTTATACGCCTTCGGTTAAGGATTTTTTGTGGAATATCTTGTGTTCAAGCTAACTTTTAAACTTCAAGAATCGTGCCGCTGCCTCAACGAGCCCAAGGGAACATTGTGAGAAGCACAAGTTTTCGCCTGTCTGTTTAAATATCATTCTCGTAACAAACCCAGTACAAACGTTCCACGATGAGCGATGGTGGCCAAGTGGTTAGGTCACCAAATTGTGGTCTGTGAGTCCCAGGTTCGCACCGCTCCACCACCGCCCGTCTTCCCAGGCAGCCTTTGTATGGCCGCGGCCCCCTTCCTGAAAGTTATCTGTACATTGTATTTTCAGTAAATAAAAAAGGAAGTAAAAAGACACACACGCGATAAGCTTACTTGTAGTGGTCTGTTTTTTATCACATACATATAGAACTTGGCCTATTGCGGATATTGTGAGCCACTGAAAAGGAAAGTTTGTCTGTCTCATGAATTACACTTCGAGTGAAGTAACAAACTAACATTTGAAATGACAAGTGCCCTTCTTCAATAACTACTTCCTGAGGGTGATGAGAATAATGGCTTTATCAGTGTACTTCTATTGCCTGAATTGTCACACGTTTTGATGAAAACATTCCCGTTTTGGTTATGTTTAATTAAATTTATATTTTTTGATACATTTTTGGGGTTACATACTTCCAAACTGACCACTGCATTATGTGGATATATTCGCATATCAAATAAAGTGTGAAAATGTAAAAAATATCATGTTTTCGTCATTATCACCTGTAAATAGAAACGCTAAGCAAAGTGCTTCATGGACTAATGGCCTAATGAAACTCGGGTTTAAGGTTGTTGAGTGATGGATTGAGAAATAGCGACCGATCGCCTGGTCAGATAACCTAACATAGCTTTTCAGTTTGTCCTGTTTTGTATAATGTGCAAGCGTTTCTTTAGTAATAACGAATTTCCATCGTTAAGGGGTTTTTAGGGTTGGAGTGATTGTACCCAACCTGATCTACATTTGTCCTGTATTCAACCCCTAACGACAGAACCAATTGTGGCTGAGTTCAACGGGCACCAGTGGATTTCCGTTTCATTCAGTCCGTTTCCGGTGCAATCAACGGTGGAAGACCTGGTTATACGATTCCAGACCAAACAGAAAAGTGCCCTGCTCCTGACCACACGAAGTCCATCTCTGGCTGCCTCAGATTGCCTAGAGCTTCGAATTAACGCGGGCTACGTACAGCTTATGTATGACTTCGGCGAGGAAAGTAAGGTGAGCAGATTAAAATAATGCACTTTTTCAGATTTTTATCCAAAAATGTAAATACACTCACGTGGTCAGCCGTTTTGCCGTGAGGCACTCGTTGTTCTGTGGTTCAAAACATGGACATGCAAATTCGTGTAGAATGGATGGTCTTGTATGAGCAATAGCTGAGCAGATGTCTTCTATATTTCAAACTCATCACCCCCAAGTATAATATTAGTATTTTCACTTGCAATGATTCCGGAATTTGAAATGAATTGCTCCCCATCTGATTCAATTTATCAGATTTTGCATGAATTGCATTGTATTGTATTGTGTATAACTTTTGCAAGCATTGGAGCTCACATTCCAGTTAAAAAAACATACACTCTAACCGTCACAATGTACATGATCAACGAGGAGAAAAGTTTTCGCAGGCATGGAGACATTCATAATCCAAGGTTGAGACAAAGTTTGCTCATTGTTCGCTCTTCGTTTGTGAGTGAACGAGCAAGATATGGTATGGGTGAATTGTGGTATGCATTAATTAAAGATGAAATTTTACGGAATGGGAGCGTGTTGAATGATGGGAATGACAAAGTGTCAATTCTGCATGCAATGGGTGGTCCGGATCTGGGAGGATGCTCTCGGCAAATTTCACATAGGAAGTTACGTGATACTCGGAATGCTTTACAGCTAATTCATTCGCAGGAATGGACGAGACACGACTAATAATGGTAAGACCGCGTCGTAGGACTTTGAAGTCCTGTTTGAGTAAACCAGGAAAAATAACCGGGGAACAGTAGAGTAAGATGGGGAAAACACATTGATAAACAAAGGTAGAAATAACTGACTGGGATGCACGAAAATACTGGAGCTTCCGTATTTGAAATGGAAGGCGTCGCAGTTTACCAAAGCAGTTGTGGATGTGGGTTGGCCCATGAAGATTGCTATCTATAGTTACACCAAGATATTTGACAGAGTTCACCCTGGATAAAGCATTGTTATTAATCACTGTGGGGTCTGTCGGATATGGAGAGCGAGCAAAACCATACAAACACTCACCACATTTACTGGGGTTCAGGGTTAGCCCCGATGAGGAGGAGAATGACTGAATTTGATCAAGATTATCGGTAAAAGATCTTAGATCAGAGTAAAAAGAAATTGGTTGGCACAACACGAAATCATCTGCATATTTCAAAATTTGTGCGGGAGAAACACAGGGAATATTACAAATATAAGTGGCAGATAAGTATGGGGATAGCACAGCTCCTTGAAGGACCCTGAAGTTGTCACATGTGAGCAGAGAAGAAGATGATGAAAACCATCGTGAGGCCTGTCTGAGAGATTCATTCAGGAGAGAAACACGTGCAGGTGAGAAGTTACGAAACCGAAATCTGGTGTGCTCAGATTGGGAGAAAGATTTGTACGCACTATGTGAATAAACCTTAGATCGAACTAAGAGTAAGCAGTGGTCACTGGAAGAAATAGGAGCTTTTAGTGCTAAAGAAAAAAGGGTTGGGTGGTTGGTAATAACTCTGTCCAATATAAAGTAACCTCTGGGAGAATGACAGAGATCTGTCATACCCAATGATAGAAGTGGATAAGTGCTAGTATGATTGAAGTCACCAGCGATTATGTGCAGGTTAACATCTGAAAGTGGGGCAATAAAAGGTATAAACGAGTCGAAAAATGACATACGATCTGACTGTGTACAGGAGGGGGCTTTATACAAGTTAGTCAAAATTGTGTGAGTAAAACGGGAAAATCTAGGGTGACACTGTATAGTTAGGCAGCCTGGACAGTGGGAAAGTGGAGTCGCACAAATCGCTGAACCATGGAAGCATGTCCTGGCACGTTTGAAACAAATAATATCATTCCGTGTGTAACGACGACGCATGATAGTGAGTGAAAAGGTGAAAACTCCCACAATGTGACGGAGAGCGTGCAAGTGTAGCGCAGCCAATCGAAGGGCGCGCGATGAATTATTAGTAAATAAAAGAAACCGGGAGTTGTGGAGCGACGTCATATGTCGAAGTGTGTTAAATTTGTGAAAAATACAAATTATTAAATTAAATTATAACTCTAAATGATAGTGTAGGATTACCTGACCAAACTCTTTTGTAGATTCGCAGAGTGAACGGAATAAGAAATAGTTGCATTTGAAAAATCGTTTTCATTTTGAAGCTTCGTATGGACGTGGGCCCGAAATTGACTGTTTCAACAACCCATCAATAATCACCGGGATTGCATAAAGACATGATTCAGTTGTCGCCAAATGAATCACTCTAGCGCACTGATGAATGATCACCACAACTGAACTGTCCGTGGAGTTCATCCAATGCACTGTGGTTTCACATTACTCCCAAACCTTTTGGCTACGATTTCACAAGTTTGTTGGCTCTTGTTGAACTATGTTTGATCAATTAAAGTAGAAAACATTATTTACAAAAGAAGAGGGTAAACAATCTATCTGTTCGGTGGGAAACGGTAAAATAAAGTGGAAGATTTACCTCGATTACCCCATCAATGTTGACCTAGCCTCCCCCATCACTTAGTAAGTGCATTGTGTGCTTGTGTAGCGGAATGATGTTCGTTAAGACCGCAAGTGGAGAATTAACTCATCACGTTTGTGATGTCACTTGAAATCTCAGTTTGAAATTTCTCCTTCAACTCACTATCTGCCTGAGTTGACCATCCTAGCAGCGGACGAAACCGTTGAAGTAGACAAATTTGATTAGGAACAAAACATTTTAGCCTACGAAACAGTTCTCCATCATTTTCTCGGTACGCGCTTATGCACACCGCAATGTATTTCTTATCGATAAAAGATGCCCAATTTCAAAAGAATCTTAGGTGTACCGACAACTCAATTTGTGTTTTAACGAGACATTTATATATTGACAACAAATAAGCACCATTCAAAGGCGAAAAGCCGAAAAATTGATTTCAGTGAAATAAGCGCATGCTGTGACAAGTCCTATGGGCGGCAGTGGCCCGGTGCTAACGTCACCAATTANCGTGTGTTCAAATCCCACCACCACCGCCTATATTTTCCCATTATGTGTGTTGACGGCAGCCCTTTGATTATCCGCTAGCTCCTTCCTGAATACAGTGTCTTTGTATACTCAATAATGGAATGAAAATGACAAAATGAAATGACAAAATGGTATCGATGATTAAAACCGTTGACTAGTTTATTGCCTACTTTTCTTAAGCTCTATTGTGTGACTTGGGACTCGACGTTTTTCCAGCCCCGCGTAAATTCTGNACGCAGGTTAGTAGTCGTCATTAGACGTGAATCTAATTAAACTCTTCTTCACGTGAAACTTGACCAATGCAGTTGAAGCGCTTTAGTCAACCAATTGTACGTAAGTACATCAAAGGCTGATAATCAGACAGTGATAACGTCTGCCGTGGCTGAATTTTTCAGGTAGAATTATTTTTCCTATCGATTAGCCGTTTGCAATATACGGTTTTGAAATCTTTCCGGGGTTGATACCATAGGTATCACCATCTAAAGGGTCTAGGATGGATCCCTGTGAGTGAGCAAATGTGCAGACAAATCCTTATCCGTGCGATCTGTCCAACTTTCGTAACCAAATCACTCAAGAAGGTGAGTGAAATTCACCAACGTCAGCTTAGGTAATTTCGTTTTTAGCTTCATTCTAATCATCGTGCAGTCGAAATGACGCCCTTCTTTTCGGCCGGGGGGAATTAAATCCGTTGGCACCTTTAAGGGTAATCAGTTAACACTTAAATGGGACGCATGCAAAAGTTACTTAAAATGAAACTGACTACATAATATTCCCAAAGTATTTACGAGTGCTGCCAAATCCTGGTAATGGATTTTAGCTCACATCCTCAAGTAAGTAAAGCGAGTATCCCTGCAGACTTGAGAATCCGCATCTTGTGACTGACGGGAAAAACTGTAGAGGCCATGTATTGCCTCTTGTACAGTCACTGTTTTATCTGTCCAAGTTATTTATATTTTAGCCTGTCTTCCTTATCTGGTAAGCACACAAGCCTCTACTGGAGAATCCATGAGAAATGCATTGAATGATTTTGTGGTGAAATGAAACACATTTTCTTTGAATATTTATGCCACAAGTATTTTTCATGTCCATGTATCAATCTTCACACCTGGATATCTCCCGCTTATTACTCTTATGGATAGCTTGGGGACAGTGAAGGGCACAGCAAAGAACCCATAACAGTAGCATTTCCACTTAATATCAGGCCGCAATACTTGAAACGGTATGTATGAACAAGTAAAGTGTATACTCTGTGTGTTGACCACAGAGGTTCACTTTCTTTCCGCTCATTCAAAAGAAGTCCAAACTATGTCTACTTTACATTTTGCCATCAGGTTTCATGCATTACGAGCTTAGCAGCGACCACCGAAGGTTGTTCAAAATTTATTTTGCCGTACGATGAAGACGATGCTGAGTTTTATTGATCACATTACACTACAGAATACTGCCGATCCTTGCTCGTCGTTTAATTAAATTGGCGTTTATTACCAGCAAATAAAGTGGTGATAAAGTAACCAAAGACATAACTGTACAAACGTATAAATAGCTAAACAACATCATCGTAACATAATCTCTCAGTACAATCAACAGTATGCATTTTGATGATCTGGTTGACAGTTCACTCATTGTTGTTCACGAAAAGTAAAACTGTTCAAAATTTTATCGTCCGTCCTTGAACAGCTTAAAGAATTGATATTTAGTTTGTGATCGATAACTCTGAGATCAAATATACGAAACGTTTAGCAGCGGTCGAGGAACACAATATATTTTGAAATCTGCAGTGATTACTAATGAACAGCATATAAAGTACCTACCTAGTTAGTTAGTTGCCAAGAGAACTGTGCGCAATCTGCTGATTGCTTTCCAATCCAGAATACCTCTTAATTCGTGCTTATCTGAACCATTGATGAAGTAATCCGATATGTGCGTTCGTTATTTTACAGCGATACAAGAGCACCACATTCGTTTCCGACAACCTGTGGCACACAGTCAGGGTGGTGCGGCGTGAAAGGCAACTAAATTTTTCCGTTGATCACCTCGCCCAAGTTTACGGTGAGTTCCCTAAAATTGGCCGTAACGATTCACTCATTTATGTAAAATGTTAAACTTATGCATTTCACACACCATATTCCGATGCTTAGGTGGTTGAAGAGTGAGTTCAAATGATGTTATTTATCGATCAATAACCGATTTGAAATATGGCGATGGTGTTGGTGCTGCTCAACCGATAAATTTCACTAGCTTTTTGCCTCAGAGGACGTGTTCGAATCCCACCCCCACCGTCTGCCGATTTGCACCTGCTGTGTGTTGCACGGCAACTCTGTGATTGACGGATTCCCAACTTCTGAAAATTATAGATTCATGAGAGAGCAATGTTAGCAGGCAAGCTGGTTTTCGGCGATATAACAAACAGCTAAATACAGCACGAACCATAATCGAATAGATAGATGATGGAAGGAAAGATGATAAAATGAAGATGAGAACCTCGGTGGTGACGTTAGCCTCACATCAAAGCTTTCAGTTCTGAAACTTTTGTTTGGAACGATTAGACATGATATCCTCGTGAGTCCCACCAAAGCTAGTGATCAGTTGCCAGTAACAGAACTACGTGCCATTAGCGTGAAATGTAAAATAAAATGCGGTTTTTGGAAATGGAATCCACCAAAACAATCAAACAGGAATAGATGAGGTGTATAGCATTTCTGATGTGTTGTAAATTTATTCATAGCATATTAATCATTGAAATTTATTTTCAATGGTGAACTAATTTCACTCGTCATAAACTCATTGTTGTTAAAGATAACTGAAACACATAGCAACCAAATATTGGTGCTATAAGTAATATAAATCAAATGAAAGAATTTGCCACCCTAAAACGCGGTAACCTCTCTGGCCCACTCGGAGGTGATCGTGTTATTAGCTACAGTACGACCTGTTATTCGGACGACCGTGTTCTCAAATTCCACCGACTGCACGAGTTCACATCGTATGCAGTCTGATTGACGGGGTGGGGATTTGTGGGGAGAGATATCTGATGCATGGTGCCGGTTAACAACGGTTTTGTACACTCCTGTTCGGTCACTACAAACGTGATTTCTTTGAGTGTGAATTGTTGTTTACAAAATTCTCCCCAATGCACGATTAAATCAAGTGAATATATTTGTGTTTTTATGGTGAAATTGTTAGATTAACCTTCCGGTGTCAAAAAATCATGAGGAGATTTAGGAGACAATCGATGTCCCCATTTAATCGAGATAACGGTGAGAATAAATTATTGCGTGACCAGGATCACAGTGACACAAATAAACTGAAAGTGTCGAGATTGGAAAATAATACTCTTCGTCTTCATATAGATCACATGCACAAATTGAATAGAATAACAGCTAAATAATTGCTGTCTCTTAGCTGACGAAAAGTCTTAGTTGCAGTTTTCACCTTCACTGGAACCTGTTAAGTTGATTCATGCAACTAATCACTTTATAACTGAATACTCACTCAAATGAACACTCATATTCCACAAAGTGTTCTTGAACAATCGGCCATGCGTCTTTTTCCAGCAAAATGCAATCGGTTCGAATCCCTCACCTCGGAGATACGATGGTTGTGTTTCTGGGCATTTCTAAAATTTCAATTAATTTATTATTGGATGACAGACAATGGATGTATGAAGGGAATTCAGATTGAGATCCGAATGATAAACCATTCATTCCAATGCAATTGCGTTGATTTTCGATCCACTTTTAAAGAACCAGGTGACACAATGGTTTCTCTAAGAAGTCTGATATTCATCGTAACCCTTACTGAAGTCGAACATTGAATTATAATTTCCTCATTCTCACTCACACTATCGAAATATTAAATTTTCTTAGTGTTCGAGCGGTTGTTAGGCCGCTGATCACTCCAGATGTGAAGTGTTCAAACTCAGCCGTCGCGTTTAATATACTTCATTTGAATGCGTAACCTATAAACTACCGCATACTTAAAGTGTTCGTAATGTTTTTTTAATATAAAGACTCTTAAACGCACGAGGTGATGGATCATTTGAACATGTATTTGATCTAAACCGTTCGTTATACTCTGTTTAGTTAAGTAGTAGACCATGGCTGCTACCGGATTACTCGTCATAAATTAATTATGATGTTACATCCTCCACAGTCACGTGACAAACAAATGTCATTTTTGATCTGCATAAACTTACCAGATATTCCCAAAGATGGCCGATTCCTGTCGCACAAACAAATTATCCTCGGTCGAAGCTCAAAAATAGCAGAACCAAACTCGGTGGATGCGTTTCCTGATCGACCAGTCGTTCTTCCTCCGGCGCAGATCAAGCTCACTATGTTTATTGGGAATATAATGGCTTTCTGGTTCAACGGATTAGATTTTCTACAAGTGGCAAAGCACCTACTGACTCGGACCGCTTTCGGTGTCTGGCGAGACCGGTTGGAAGTGACTGCATCGGAACGGTTACTGACACCGGGGCAAATGTTGCTGGAATTTCCACTCTCGCTGGAGACGCACGACTCTTATGTACAGATGGAGCTATCCGGCGAGTATGATCAATTTGTTTTGGAGTTTTGGTTGAAAGCAGACAAGGTGAGCTTGTGAATTTGAACGGCTTCCAAACTGTGTCAGATATATTCAGTGGATGAGAAAGGGATTTTGAACTTCCTCAGAGCATTAATTAACTTTCAAATAACTCCAACGTATCCATCCTATTCACATGATCGAAATTGGCTAATGATTGCAATTCAGAAAAGCACCTCTTAGAAAACTTTAATTGTTTTTGTACTTTAGAAAGTAGCTAAACATAAATGTCACAAAACTTTTTTAAAGCCAATTACACACGGAATACTACAAAACATGTGTGGCGTGATCTCCCCATGCTTGTAACTCACTTGTGTAGGTCATAAAGCTGTCCTTGCCTGTCCTATGATCTAGTATCATTCCATTTTTGTATTCCCATCCGGGAACCACATTTTTTGTAACACCTCGTAAAATGTGCACGATGCATGGACTTGAAAATGACCTGTTAATTGGAAATACGGTTGCTCTGAAGTGTCTCCATCGTGCGTGTTAAAAGACCGAACCGGTAGACACAGACACCAACACAAATGTAGCACTCACTTGTAACCGTGTCATCATAGGCTGTATTTCCACTCTTGTCCGAGCAATCTATCCTAATGTTTTCACTTCCGATAATGTGCGCGCATCTGCGGGGTTGATGGAAATACAGACACCGGAGGGAGTAATGCATCCGAGAAAAGTACAATTTTTTTGAAAGCGGTCCTTCGCTAATTTCGGAAAGTAAACGCACATTTGCGGTACGTTACACTCCCCTTCCGGTGTTCTTCATTTCTCTACAGCATAAAAATTTCGCCCTGATTGATAAAAGGGAGAAATGTGATTTGGGGGGTTAATTTCGGTTGCTAGATAGTGAAATACTTTGGCGCTTTTTGGAATATTTGTATTTGCAATATTCATCAGCCTGACCGATAACCCCTGAGCTCCCGAAATTTCATATTGATTTAATTTGGTAAAACAGTATCATAAAAGTGTTTTTAGTATAGAATAAATCAATGTCATCAAACTGACAAATACTGTTTGTGTGGCAGTTTTGTGTGTATGAGTTATCTGAAATGCCCTCAAATTCTTACATTTGGTATGAACTGTGAGTCACGTCAAGTGGAACGAAATTCCTTTCACTTAGATAGCCTGTTTCAGTGCTTATATAACTGTTGATTTCACATCTGGTCAGACGATTATCGATATCAACAGCCGCACTGCGCTGTCTCTAAATTAACATGTATTTGTGATTGATAAAGATAGGCATCTCATCACGCTTTCGGTTTTTATTCGGCCCTAGACATTGAGTGGATTGAATCATGCACGAGGACGATGCATGTCTAACGAAAGAGCAATGTCTGTAACCTGAAAACGTTTGATAAGTTCATTGTTCAATAGGGAAACGTTGATACCTGCATAGCTATTGCAGAACTAATTTCATGAATGCTTGACATTGTTTCTTTGCCTTAATCTTTATCCCCCAATCGCAAAAAAGCAGGCCGAAATTCACGTATAATTCAATCATGGGATTATGTCATTCGAAGTTGTGTTACGTGCAACGATTGTGTTTTATATTTTGCTTATATATAAACAGCAATTCTAAATGTTTTCCGGCTGTTTCATCGTCCATTTTTGGGTATATCCTATTGGTAGTTATCGTTCTAGAAGATAAAGCACGTTTTACCAAAACATGCACCAACTAAACGTGTACATAATGTGTGTACTTTCCTGTCATCTTTGGTAGCCATTTTAAATAAAAATGACTGGATTTAATTTCTATTAGAACAGATAACACTCGCCTTGAGACAGAGAGAATTTAAAGCCCCTTTTTATTCCCAAATTTCTGAAGTTATCTCGATTATGGTAACATTGGGGTATATTAAAAACTGGCAATGCCTAGTTGATTACCGCTCGGCTTTCAATCAGCCCACTTTGGATCAGTCGAACCGTATCTCTGCTGTCATTCTCAGGTGGTCCTAGTAATGAACCAACTATTTGTGTAACGTGTAGTTCCCCACGCCAAAAGCTCAAAATAGCACTTCAACAAGGTGAGTGCTGGTGACTATGTTGAACCTGGAACCTTGAGTAACAGCAAGCTCAGCTCTGTAAATGTGGTGAAGATAACATGGTTTAATCGAATGACAACCTAAGTTGTTGTGTGTTAATCTTTGAACGTTTATAAATAACCTAAATTAACCCAACCCATTTTTTAAGTAAACAACAGGAGCGGTAAAACCCTGTCCACGAGGAATGAATGATGCCTCTCTGATTGCTATTTCACGTCTCTAAATTCTAAACGTAGATCAGCCCTTATTAACGCACTTATATACATATATATGACTAAATCCAAATGAAATTCATATCAATTCAATGGTTCGGTCATTGTTTTCTTCGAGGGGCTGTCTAATCAGATGTGACTTCTTCGTCAGTTGACAAAGTATCTTGCAATATTTGGATTTCTGAGTGTGTGCTTTGTGCTCTGTTGACATGGAACAATATCTGACTGTCTAGACGATCTTGCCAAAAGGCAAAAAAAGAAATTCAACAGAGTTACTCTTTGTATCTCGTAGGTTGTTTCGTGTTCCATTGAATACAAGCTAGTGACTTGTCCATCCATTTGCATATCCAAAGTGTAGTCTGTCATTTTGTTTTGTTCAAGAATCGATTTTGTTGACTATACTGAAACGGTCGAACTATTTTCCGACAGTCTGATACCAATTACTTAGAGCTTAATAGTCTTTATTTTTGATAGTCCAAGCAACGGCATTAATTCAGATCTACCAATAAATGAGCTAAAGCAATTGGTAATGAACAAGTTTACCGCGACGATATATCACCACAGGGATAGAGTAACAACGGGGTCCGCGCCAGGGCCAATTTCACCAAAGTTGTCACGTATTAAGTAGAAAATGTTCCGCTTGAAGCACGTTTCGAACAATGCATCCTACATAGGCTTTACGCACTCTCCCCTTTGTGCGTGGTCTAGATCACTTAAATAATGTGCATCTAATTTGAAATTCACGGTTGGAAAGGAAGCAAACAATAAGCTGGTATACCAAGATATTCACCTAACTAGTCGATCAGACTGTCGGCGCACAACACATTGACGTAAAATGTACAGCATACCCGATCTCTGTGGCTTTGCATAACCGAGTATGAAGAAGAACCTCATCCCTCGTTTGTTCAACGAAGTACATGCTTCATGAATAGCTGAAAAATATATCGAGTATATCCATCCAGAAGGGATACCCTGAGCGATTGGTCGATCCTGTGATACAAAAATACGAGGTCTATCTCAAAACGGGCACTGCTGATAAAATATTTGTGTAGATCAGTTCAGCATTTAATGGTAACAACTTCACAGAGATGACACATAGAAGGTCGTCATGTGCCATCGGCAAAACATTCGACCCAGCCAAGCTAAGGACCCTCTTTACATCTAGCCCCTTCACGTTATGTACGTTTGAAAAATAGAACGCCCAGTTCTGCTATCTCATTCTGTATTCACTGTTTCACTTACCCGTGCAGAACAAAGCATGTCGGTTGTACGAATATAGAACTCTGTCCCAGTGCTTCCGTGAGCATCACTCAGTGTAGCGTAGTAATTAAATCCTTTGTATCGTGATGCCACTAATAACTTCAGGTTTTATGTCCATTGATTGAGAACACACAAAGTACGCGAACGTCTGTTTTCGGTGAACTCCCTTTCATAACTTTTCAATTTCAATACAATTAAGCAGAAATCTTGATATTTCTCACTCCAATTGATAATACTTTCTGGTCCACACAAGCTGATTGTTAGGTTTGTGAATGAATGCGTGCTCCACTCATTGTGCGTATTGCTCCCCAGTCATTTTTCCCGGCATGCTGAAGAAAGACTTTTATTTACTGACGAGATCTCCGAAACACATCTCTAACTATATCGACATCGTCAGGGATAAATCAGTAGATTCTATCATAGACAGTCACCTATAAGGATGTGAAAATTTTACCGCCAAATACTCTCAGAGACTCATCACTCATTACACAACGAACTTCCCAAAGCTATATCTGCATCATCCACACACCGAATATTTAAACTTTTATTTGCAGGTACACCTTCTTATAGTCAATTTGTTTTGCCATATCCAGCACCGATATTTACGTCATGACCATATGAACAAGCGATTAACTCTTCCGGTCAGGTTAGTTTAAGAGCTTGGATCAGTTTTGTTATGCGCACGGCTCAGGTAGATAGTTATTTCAACGTGACAAATAATACAATTCAAGATGGCTCACACAGGGTGGGAGTGGATCTGTGTGAAGCTCGATCGTTGCTCATCTGGTGCTGATGGGACAATTGGTGGGCGTGCGCTCTCCACAATCATTTATCGAGTTTCACCAAAAATCCTTGAGGGAAATATAGTTTCAGACGTTGGCGACCGCAGAGTCTGATGAGACTCAACCAGATCAACACAGCTGTACAGTGCTTTTCAGCTTTTCCGCTGAGGCTTCATTTACATGATGAATTTTCCTCATTATTCATTCTTGAAAAAAGAGCATTTGATGAAATTTCCTATTTCGGCTTTTCAGTTAGATACCGTTTAGTCTGTAAAATGTGTGATAATCCTGTTTGTGGGAGCAGAGATAAGGCAAATATACGTAACGTGGAGAGGTTCAATCCTATTTCGCGGGTGACATTCAGTGGAGCTGAGTTTTGCCAGATGCGTCTCTGACTGGCAGATAGGAAAACGATTTCACTGCTATCCCGGATACCATTTTGTTGCGTATTTCGAGGACTTTTCATGATTTCTTTCATGAAGACAATCCATCGTCACGTGAACGTACGTGGATGATCAACTGTTAAGCATCCGCTAGTCGAATAATGTGCTTATCTCAACTAATAACTTCAGGTGGTACAGAGCTTTCAACATTCGCAGAGCTGTGAACAAGTCTGATTAGTTCTCATATCCACACTCACTCACTCACACCCACTGAACTATAAGGATCGCAAGGATGTAATTAGACATTGAAAAGATGCGACGAGGACGGTAACTAATGCA